AGGGAGAAGTGCAGTAGTTCCAGTTCCAACCATCAGAGGCAAGGAAAGGAAAAGGACCTGGGTTTCAGCACAGCAGTGTCAGCCCACATGAGTTTGGGGAAAGGTTTCCAATCCCAAAGAAAGAGAAAAAAAAAGACTGAAAATAAAATCTGGACCTCCTGCACATGCAGCAACATATGACAATATCCTCAGGCACAACTGTGAAACACTCCTCATTTCTAGTGTATACACTCATATGGCTCACAGAGTCAGCAAGGGCACCATCATATTTATCTCTGAGTACTATTGACCATTATCAAAGCTGGAGAAAAATCTTTTTGGCTACAGGAGCAGCTCCCACAGCATTTTTCAACTCTACTTCTGCGACAGACTGTAATTTGTAATATGCAGGAAGCACCACACGGACTTACTTGTGTGATTTTTTGGTATTGGCCCCATCAGGTCCCTCTCCACAGTCATAAGCCTGGATGGTGAATGTGTGTTCCTTGTGTGCTTCACAATCCACTGGTTCCTTAGCCCGGATCAGCCCCTCACCAGTAGCTTTGTCCAAGATCACAGCTTCAAAGGGCACCCCTGCTCCATGGATCCGGAAGCCACAGATTTCACCTGGTACCCAGAGAAAGAGGAAGGGGAGAAAGGAAAGGCTTGAGGAGAGCAGTAATTTTCCACTCCTTGTGACATTTTCCCTGTTCTCTTTTCACTGAGCATGTGTATCCTTGCAGTATGGTGCCTCGCTTCCCTCTCCTATAGTTTCTTCATAATTGACAGTCTCCTTTCCCCCTCACTATCACCTGTCTTTCTGGTACAATTGCTTGTTCCCTAGGAGTTCCTCCTACCACCTATTGCAGGCATTTACAGTATAGATTGCCCTCTACTGGAGGCTATTCCCACGGCAAGAAGACAACCAGCATCAGCAAAGACTAGAGATTACAAGGCTGTATTAAGGTTATATAGGCACAGCACTGGGGGACCACATTGCAATCACTATTTCTCCCCCCTTACCTCACTAGTGAGGCCAGATAGGCCATTTTTCGCAGACTGGAAGCTAAAGCATATAAATCCATGATGTCTCACCCACCCTTATACAGAATGTGCCCAGTCCTTCAGGGAATCACAAATAGGGTCATCCAAATCCTAAAGTGCAGTTCTCAGGCACAACCTTTCCTCTCCAGAGGCTGAGAAAGCAAGAAGCAGTTCCAGGTACAGCCTAAGCAAGCACCAGGGTTAAAAGAAATCTCAAAAAAAACATTGTCTGGATTTTCAGAGATTTGTGCCTGCTGTGAGGGTTGCGGACTTGCAACCAAATTGTGCCCTACCAGGTTTCTTCACTGCTCACAGAAACAGGACTGTGCACATGATCTTTGTAAATAGCAGAACTGCATCAAAAAGTAGCTGGCTCTACCCTCCTTTCTCTCCCAGACGGAAACAACTCACAGGATCCTGAATCAACGCGTATTCAAAATTGTTTTTAGACTTCTCTGGGGAGCTCCTCCAGAATAAGGTCTGGAGGTGGTCATTTCCTGAACAGATTTAGAATCTGGCACAAGGATGTATTTGACCTTGTTTCTGTCTGTTTGGAGGTCTCCACCTGTCTCCCACCCTTCCCAGAGCTGTTACCCTCCTACCTGCATAGCGCAGTGGTGCATCCTTGTCCAGTGCAAACAGTGGTGGATTGAGCAGGACCGTGTTATCATTCTCCATGACGATGCCCTGATACTCGGCTTCAATCCAGGGCTTGTGCTTATTTGCTGAGATAGATTTGGGGGAAGGGATAGAGCACAGGGATGCGTTAACCACAAATGACAGGCTTAGCAGAGAAGGAGCAGGACGTCATCCACTGGCAGGTGACAATCACCCCTCCCCACCTTCTTCTCTGACAATAAAGAAGGCTAAAAATACGTTGGGAGAAGGAGTTATCTTTCTTCCGTTCTACCTTACCTCGCACTTGGGAGACCTCATCAGAAATACTGTGTTCCTTCTGGCCTCCTCACTACTATCTAGTTAGACATGTGTGGAAAAGCATTTAGGGGGCCAGGAAGACTGAAGAGATTAGAGGGAAGAAAAAAAAAAAGAGGCAAAAAGGCAAAAGTAGCTTGGTTCTGAGGCCAGACTCCAAATGCTAAACCCTTTGGATCATAATTAAAGGATCCAGGACACGTCTTCCCTTGGGTTGTCCTCAGGGCACAATCTTGTATGCAGCCTCCTGTCTCCCATCCTCTAGGCTAAAGTGCAGGATCTGCAAATGCAAACCCTGGCCCACTCTCAGCCAGGCTTCCTATGCATATAACAATCCAGTTTCAGCATCCCTTGCTCCTTAGTTCCTTGCTCCTTCCTTCTTCACTCCATGGAGAGCACCATATTCCCTTGGCCCCTCCTTGCTTATTCCGTTGACTGGAGCCCAGCCAGGTTTGGCACTGAGGCAGCAACCAGCAGGAGGCTCCAAAAAAATGTCACAGGCCAGAAATAGCAAATTAATCTTTATCACATAGGCTCCAGGAAAGGGAGAAATAGATGGGTGGGGGGAAGGGAGGAAAGAGAGAAGAAAAAACATTACAAATTAACCCCTCCCCCATGCCCACTCCCTGCCAAATGGGCCTCAGAGATTATAGTACATGGCCTAGTTACAACCCTCATTCCCAGATAATCCCCCCCTCTCCCACCCCGTGGAGACCAAGATTTATTACAACCAGTCGATTCTTTGAGCGCAGCATGGCTCAGAGTAGGTGGAGAGTAAAATACACAGCCTTTCCCCTCAAGGGCACTACTTCCAATATGTGAATCCATTCTCTGCAGCCAAGTACCCTAGAGCACCACACTGATGGAGTTAAGTATTGACTCAAAGGGGACGACATCCATTATGAACTCAGCCACGGTCACTTTGCACACCACGACCAAGGGACACGGCTGCAGCAGGGCGGTGGGTCAGCAGGCAGGACCATGGGTCAGAGTGGGGATGCACCAGCAGGGCAGAGCTAGCAACCACAGCTTGGCACATCAGTGAAGGCTGCACGTTTGGGTTTCTCTCTCGTCATAGTGATCAAGATTATAAAGCACTGCGTAGGAAACCCAGAGAAACATCCATCCTGCTCAGCATGCAGGCTGAATTCTTCCTGTGTGCAAATGCCCACGTTTCCCCACACTCCTCCACTGCCCCCGCTGGCTTCCTAGCCGTGACGGCTCCAGTTCGTGCACCGCACCACTGAGGTGGGTGCATAGCTACAAATGCCAAAAATGCCCTGTTGCTGGGGCAACAAGCGGGTAGTAGAAGGATAAAGCCTTTGCTGCATCCACCTGCAACTTGGGAATCACCAGCCTGTTTTTTTAGGAAGCGAGTTTCTGGGGATTAGAAAAACAGGCTCCTAGCACCTGACTAAAACCATTTGCCAAAGGCAGTCAGATGTTTCATAGAGTGTAAATTCACAAAGAATAGAGAAAAAAAAGCGGGGCATTAAGGGCATCGCCTTGCAACTGGCCCACGCAGCACTGGAGTGATACAAATAAATACCCCTGCCAACACACAGGGCTCTGTGTTGCACCCGCTGTCTGTGGCCAGACCTAGCCCTGCCTCTGCTGAAGCACAGAAAGCACCTTAAAACATCACATCCCCTGATGACCCTTGAGTGCCTTGCACGTACTGAGGGTCCCCCACTCTGTCTGGTTGCTTCACTGACTCCCCTGGCATGGGCTTCTTGTGTCCGTGCCCGCAGCCACTCCACTAGAAACCTGCATCTTTCTCCATCACTTGATGGAGAAACATCGCGGAACATCTGCATTGAGAATGTTAGAGCAGCAGCATTAGGGTGATTTTTTATTATTATTTAGCAAATAAAATACAGTTTTATGTAAGCACCTTGCATAGTTAGCACACAACTGTATGATAATTCCTATAGGTAGATTCCAGCTGCATTGAACTGAGCTGGAAAGATGGATGTAGGGAACGGGTTTCAGAGAACTGGAGGGCTCTGTGGAGAGGCAATACACTCTCTATGAGCATAATAACGAGGGGACGGGAGGAAGAGCTAAACCCAAGGAGCAAGAACTGAAACAAAAGCAAAACAAGTGGTTGGAAAAAAAGAAGAAGAAAAAGAAGAAGAAAGGAAAAGGAGAAGGGAACACCGGCAGCAAAGACTTTAGAAAAAGAGTGGAAAGAGATGGAGCGAATAGCTGAAGAGAGAGAAGCGATGAGATGCTGGGATGAGAGCGCCCGAGACGGCAGCGCACGCCCGAGGTGCGGG